CAAATATTTTGTTTAATGAGTTCTATAAGGGCCTATTCTGTAAACATACAAACAATTTTAAAGGGTGTTTACAATTTTAAATCACATTTAATATTTTGATGCTATTCTGTATGTATCTTTCCTGTTAAAATTTTAAATACCCCCTTTATTCTTCACCTTTAAATGTTTAATTTTTAAAGGGTACTTTGTGGGTAGAATTTAAAATAATAAAGGAGACAATTGTCAGTTGTCAGTGTAGAAAAATCCAAATCAGTGGTAGGAGTATATTATAAACAATGACGTTTGATGGATTTCTTCGTTTAATTATTGCTTATAAAGAAGACATTAGAAGAAACAGAGTAGAAAACAGAATTTATCAGCGTCACTTAGGGGATACCACAAATCCATTTACTTTGAATGATGCTTCATTTTTGAAATTATTTCGTTTAAATAAATTTTGTTTTCAAGATTTAGTCAATGCACTGCGGCCGGTTATGCAAAGGGCACAACGAAATACTAGAATACCTTAGAGTTTTAAGTGCATTGTACTTCTTTGGGCATGGTAGTTACCTTACTGGAATAGGACATATAGTTACTCGATGTCACAGAGCAAGCCTAGTTTAAGTAGGAATATTAATGAGGTGACCAATGTAATTATTCGAGGATTAATTAATACTTGGATAAAATTTCCTGATCAAAATAGAATAAAAATGCGTTTTCAAGAAGACAATCCCAATTTTTCTAATGCGATTAGAATTATTGACTGTACACATATTAAAATTATTTTTCCCCCAGAAGAACATCCTTTATATCCAGGTCAACCATACTATTGTAGCAAAAAATATTACTGGCCAAGGATTCCAAACATTTCAGAATTTTCTTATTTTGGATTTTTTTAGAATGAGTTTGATCTAAAATGTGCACACCTTATGTGTTTGGATCCACATCGCTAGCTTGATATCACATCTGTGATATCAAGCTGCAAAATTTGTAGATTTAAGTAGTTTGTTCTTTTTTATTTAAATGTTTGGTTCTTACTATGTCAATAGATGTATATATTTTCGGCTTCATTATTTGATGGTCCTGCCTGTGGTTTCAAATCGATAAAATTTTCAGTATATACTTGAATATGTTCTACTTTTAATAATAAATATGGATTTCATATCCCTACATACATCATTATTAATTTCAAAAATGATTGGAAGTTCTTCAATCGGCGGAATTCTCATTTCAGGCAGATCAGGTCTTCTTAATGCCAATAGCCTTTCTTGTATAGCTTTTAACTATCCGGCCTTTTTAGGACCTCCTTCAGTGCCAAATATGTCTTGTGGCTTATTGCCTTATGTCTAGTGAATTCTTCGAACTGTCCCAATGATAATAAAAGTAGACCAATGTAAAAAAAAACGAAAATTTTGTGTGAGTAAACAAATAATTGTCAATTGAGAAGAATTTGTGAATTACTCACTTCTTTCCATTCCTTAACATTCATTTTAGCACCACCTGGAACGTTATAAAGTTTGTTGGCTAAGATATTCCATGCATTTTTAGTGTTTTGTAATTCATTTAGATTGACCTTCGCAGATAATAAGAACTTATTTCTTCAAGAAAAGACACTAGCACCCCTTTCTGCGCTTTTGTCGTTTGTGCCAATCTTTCTTTAAGCATTTTGAACGTTTTTTGCGGAGCCTTGTCGAAATAAAATGACAAATAAAACTGGCTTGACTTTTTTTTGTAGTCGGCTCACCATTTAAAACCTGCAAAAGTAGTTCATTTATAACAAGATAATAACCTTTGCTCAATTTAATACGATGAAAGCCGAATATTTTAAAGGGTCCGTTTAAAAAATATATTTTTAAATGAGCATTTAATTTTATGCATAGCTTTTTTAAATTTGGGGGTTTGAATATTTAAATTTAAAGGTACCTTTATTTTTTAATAAGTATTTACAGAATAGGCCCTTATAGGGGCCAGAAATATGGAGAAAACTGCCAAATTTCAAACCCATTAGTTTTAGCTATTTCATCAACAGCACACTTCTTTTAAAAACTTTGAATTTTTACTAAAAGCAACAATTGTTTCTTTGTTTTTGCTTCTGCCGGAATGTAAACATTATGTTTTCGCAAAAACTGGACTGTGTCCTCTGTTCGAAATATTTGGAAATTTATTTTCACACCATTCTTCAAACAAGACAGCAATCATATCTTCATGATAATCAGCGATGCAGTTTTTTATGTTTTTGACAGATGATACCTAGTAAACTAAGGACGTTAACCTAACCTTCTTGTAGTAAACTATTTTCTATCACTTTCTGGGTGGAGAATTATAACACGAGTTGGCAGTATTTTCAAGAGAAGAGACGTCTTTTGTTTTTACGTCACGGGTATCAAACCACGTTTTATCTATGTACCATTGAAGTCAAAATATACTGGTACAGTGTGTTACTGTAGACACTTCTAAAATTCAAATTTTGATTTAGACACTATTTTTGAGTACCTAAAGGTTAAGTATTTGTCATGGTAATGCCAAATATGTCATATGATTCTTAAATAGGCATTAAATCGGTTCTTGAAAACAAGTTTCACGAATAAAATGATAAATTTGTGATAGACTGCGTTGTCTGAGAACTTTGAAGAATTTTTAAGATTACAGACGAATAAAACATAAACATGAAGTAAAAAAAAATGCCCACATTTTCTACTTAATTTATAACACCACAAAGATTTCAAAATACAGAGCAATTACTTTAATTTTAACTGAAAAGACAAACGAAGATTGACTTATTTTATTAGAAAATTTTTCAATATTTAAAGCGTTTGGATTAATTTCAGTACTTCGTCATTTCTCCATTTTTTTCTATTACGTTTTGTAAACGTTGTGACATTGATTGAACTAATTTTCTCGTTAATTCAGGAGTAATCTGCTCTTAGGTTTCGACAATTTTCTGTCGCAGTTCCATTTCTTTTTGTGGACGAAAGTTCTCTGCTTTCATAGTATTAACCATTGTACCCCAAATATTTTCTATCGGGTTTAAGTCAGGGCTTTTGGGCGGCCAAAGCAAGACATTAATTTCTTCGTTTTCTAAATATTCATTAACGATTCTTGCCCGATGAACTGGACAGTTGTCCTTTAATTTTAAAATAATTACAAAAATGTTATGACAAAAACTTAAGTTCTTTCATGCTGAAATGTAAAATTTTCCCCAAAAACCGGCAGAACTGAAGGTAACATACGTTCCTCCAAAACTCGATGATAAACTACGGCATTAAGTCGCTCTTCCAGAGTATTGCGCATATACCTGGACCTTTAATACCTATCCAACCCCATACATTTACTGAAAAATGACCACTTCGGTTTACTTTTCGAGTGTATCGTGGATTATATCTAGATCCTACTGGTCTGTACACATGAACACATCCGTTATGGTAGGATTTAATAGTTTTCTCGTCGGAGAAGATGACACTTTCCCACAAAACATTTTGATTCAAATATTCACACTGACATCTTCTTTGTTTATTTTGTTCTGATAAAAAATTTTTGTTTGCAGCACAGCGACTTCTTAGCCCGGTGTCTCTAATTCTTCGACGTGCGGTTCAACTGATGCTGGAAAATTTGTTGCCTCTTTTGCAGATATTGCGCTCTTAAAAGGATTCTCTCTGAGAAAATCAACCAGCAAATTATTTTTTGCTGCCGTTGTAATTTTATGACGTCCAGAACCGGGTTTTCTTATAATACGCCCAAACTCCTCAACTTTTCGTTTAGCCAACAAAACTGTACTTTTGCTAATATTTAATTCATTGTCAATTTGACGAATACTTCGTCTATCTCGCAAATGAACCGTTATTATTGCTTTTTGTGTTTCTGTAAGACGCGGCATGACGTTTTGGATTTGTATTTTTACAAACTGTCATTGCTATTGCTATTTCATAATCATAGCTTGTTAACGCAATTAATTATGTTCCTTCAAGCCAGATTTAGACAATTAAAATTTTGCTGTACCAGTATAATTTGTACCTATACAATTTATTTCCTTAGCAGCCGTATTTATCAATTTTTGAAAAGTACTTAACTCGCCAACGAACAATTATTCTTTTCCGACTCTAGGTATATTGTATTGACATTTGGCGTCGATTTAGTAAGGATTACAGAATTTGAGAACCAACTCGTCTCTTCCCTTTCAGACAAGAAGAAAGTAAGTAACCCAACCCTGTTAAAAACTGATTGTTTTTTCGGTTTGTCGGTCCGGGTGGGTTCCACTGATTTATGATATATGTTTTCCCTCTGGTTTACTACCGGATTTAACTTAAAAGTTATAGATTTTTTATTGGGTTTGAGCCAAACGTCCTAATTATAAAATTGTAAAGCAAGCATTAGGATGGTTAACCTTCTTACTTTTTACTACTGTCAACCCCACCACAACAGGGGGTCCAGAGCGTGCGGCGCAGGCGCAGTCTTGGACCAATCATTGGGTGGTGAGAAAAGACAACTGAGTTAAAAGTTCCCATAAAAAAAACTTGTTGGAACCTTTTTTCACTAGATCCAGCTCTTCAAAGTTAAATTTTTGGGTTCTATTTTTGGCCGTAGATCATGTATTCATCACCATTTGAGAATATGTAGTAATAATAATAAAAATGTTATTTCCAAAAATTGATACAAGAGAAAAAGGGTAAAATAGCACATAAAGATATGAGCCACATTTTCTTTTGGGAGTTTTAAAGATAAATTCAAGTGTCGGTCTGATGTTTATTGCTTCTGGAATTTTCTTCAAGTTAAATTTTTAATTCGTTTCTAAAATATTAAAATATCGGTCGTAAGGAAAGAACACGTGTTAAGGTGAGCAAATAAGTATATTATTAGTAGCCATTTAGCATGCAACACGTCATTTCTTGCTTACAAGGATGCAGAATATATTTAGTTTTGGTTATAAATATTAAAATTCAATTGGCACGCAAAGATACAAAACATGAGAATTTTACACCTGTGTGGTTTTTTAAATACAATTTTAATTATTTTATGGCTTTCGGGCTTTTTGACTTTTTTGTAATAGTTGGAATTGTGTTACTGTCAACCGGACAGCATCCATCATTATTCATTACAATTAATTTTCCATAAAATATTAAAATAAGAAGTCGCGAATTAAAGCATTTAATTTTTAATAGAATATTTAAATTACTAGCAGTCGTTATTGAATATTAAAAGGAAAAGCTTGAGGCAAAGTATGAGCAAAAGAATTACTTCAGTTCTGCTCATGCTTGCATATAAGACTAATATATTAATATTGTCCGCAATAATGAGGTACGCTATAATGAAAAGATCTCTTCGCTTTTTAACCTTGATGAGATTGTGGCCAAAAGCAGAAGGTGATGACTCACAAATTCTGGGGTGCTTCATTCTCCTTTCAAGTTCTATTCTTTTATTTGGAAGCCTTGGTTACTTGGTGGTTTATGGAAAATTTGGTGAGTTTTGGGTCAGTGAAACTCTTTTTTTTGACAATTTTTCTTAGGGACAAACGATATAGATGCCATTGAAACGACAACTAGTCAATTTGGAGTGATATATTTTGTAGTTTGTTTTATGGTGAAACGTAATGAAGTGATCCGCATTGTAGACTTGCTGTCTGATTTTTCAACATTTGGATTACCGCGCTTTTTTGACGAACGTATTAGAAAACTTAATTTTCTTTTATTGTACTGTATTATCATTCTAACTATTGCCACTGGTGGTGTTTTTATTTGCCCAATTATTTTTTCACAATCTTGTGAAAAGGTCAACCAAGAAATGAACCGAACGAAAGTTTGTGGACTGGTGACTAACATTTGGGCCCCTTTCTCCTACAGTGAATATCCGATGAAGCAAGTGGTTATATTTTTGGAGAGTTATTGTTGTTTCGTAAATCTGGGATGCGCGGGTTTTGTGTCGTTCATCTATGTTGAATCAATGGAACATCTGATTATAAGAATCGAACAATTGAAAGATTTGTTCTCAGATATTGCTAATGAGGACGATATCGCAATTAGGCAGCACAAATTGAAAGAGTGGGTGGAATATCATTTGCTCATTTTCGAGATTGGGAAAATGATGAGTGACACATATCGCTATAGTTTATCAGTTATTGTTTTCTGTGCTGGTATTCTTTTTGGTTGTATTGGGGTTTCTACGATGCAGGTAAATTTCGACAAATATTCAATAATAATTTTACAACATTTAATCCCAGAGTTCGTCGAGTCATCTATATTCATCAGTATTCCTCTTCTTGGGATGGTTCCAATCTACTGCTATCTTATGTGTGACGTCTCAATCTTTGCTTGATGCGGTAGGTATTACCTTTCCTTCGTAAATTCCAGAATTAAGTGTTTCTTGCAGTGTTTATCTGTTGGAGATAAGGTTTACGACAGCACATGGTACGAAAAAGACGTTGATTTTCAAAAGGCTGTACTTATGATTATTATTCGAGCTCGGACACCCATTTATATTTATGCTGGACCGTTTTCTTATATGTCTCATGTACTGCTCTTATGGGTATGTAAATTCTGTTTAATCCTTGCATTTGATACTTGTATTTCTTGTTTTAGGTAATTCGAACTTCATATTCTTACATCAATTTGCTCAGTGCAACATAAATATACATTTAAGCGTAAAACGTCAAATAAATCAAAACACGACCCCATAGTCGAGTCCCCGCTTTGCATACACTTATTTAGGCATGAAGGAGATTTTTGCTTTTAAACTCTGCATGATAAATTAATTTTTTAAATTGCAATTTACTATGAAATTTTTTCGACATAGACAGTTTCAATGAAAACGAGCCACCTCGAATATCTCAGAAACTAAAAAGACTTTGCAAAAACGCTGAGACAGCTCGATTTTGTTTCCGAGAGGGACATTTTTTGACGTAATTTTTAAAGCACCCACAGTAACCCCTTAACCCCCACGCACTCAAACTTTAAAAATTTAAATGGCACTACCCTACTTGTGGCACATCAAATGAAAGCTATTTTAGCAACGTTTTCAAAACTTTTTGCCAAAATTGAATCAGACCATCCATTCATGAGATACAGAGTGTTCTAATAGAAACGAACCATCTTAGAAAAAAATTGCAAAAAAAACCAGAAACAGGTTAATTTTGTTTTTAAAAGGGACATTTTTTGACGCAATTTTAAAACCACCTTCACTAACCTTTTAACCTCTATGTCACTTAACTCTAAAATGTCAAGTAGCACTAACCACTAGTGATACGAAAAATGAAAACACTTTTAAATTGCTCTCTTTTTTCCAAAATGAAATTATTTTTATACATACATAAAATATCGGCAAAAAAACTAATCTTTCAGTATGTATAAAGAAACTTAAGAACTATATTGCTATTTTTTAGATACTTACATTAAATTATAAGAAACGTTATTACCCCCTGTCTTTTAGTCCGATTATTTTGGCAATAAAATAAAGAAATAAAAATAAGTTTGTTACAGATTCAATAATACTTATAACAATATTAGTATGTTTCGTGTAATTTATTTTAATAGTTTTTATTAGAAGTAATTACTAATTAGAAACATTATTTTTGCGAATATCTTATGAATAGATAATCCCATTCAACTTTAGAAAAAAGGTTCAAAGAACATGTTAAAAACACTTTTATTTCATATGTCGCAAGTGAGTGGGTGTCATTTGAAATTTCGAAACTGAGGTGGGAAATGATAAAGGGGGTGCTTTAAAATTGTGTCAAAAAATGTCTTTTTTAAATCCAAAATTAACCTGTTTCGTTTTTTTTGCAAATTCTTTCTGGATCGTTTTTATTAGAACACCCTGTATCTCATGAATGGATGGTCTGATTCAATTTTGGTAAAAAGTTTTAAAAAGCTTGTTAAAATAGCTTTCATTTGATGTGCTACAAGTAGGGTAGTGCTATTTAAATTTTTAAAATTGGGGTGCATGGGGGTTAAAAGGTTACTGAAGGCGATTTAAAAAATGTCCCCCTCAGATACAAAATCGCTCTGTTTCGGCGTTTTTGCAAAATCTTTTTAGTTTCTGAGATATTCGGGGTGGCTTCATTGGAACACCCTGTATAAGAATTACAACTAGGTATAGGTCAAATAGAATTTGATTTTTGGGAAAGAAAGTTGTGGTAGGCTATCATTAAAATAAAAAATGCAGAACACAAAACATTCTTAAAAAAACGATCACATTTTCAATTACACCACGTGCCATTTCAATTGCCACTGGTAACGTCGCATGCGTGTTTTATGAGATAAAATATTTCACAAATATATTTAATTTTTGTATAAAAAAAGAATATTGGTAGCAACTGGACACTACTGACAAATTTAGAGCCATAATACTCCCCTATTTCATACAGTAAATGCATTCTGAAAAGTGTGGCGATTTAAATGGCACCATGTATTTCTCATGCACTAACTACTTTTTTATTAAAGCTTTCCTTGTACGCCACTGAGTTAGCTGTGTATTTGTCAGTTTAGTAAATAGAAACACCCACTAATTTACTAGTAAATGAAATAAAGCAATAACTCAAAAAAAATGCTTACATTTTCTTTGAACTAAATTATAGTTCTTCTAAAAAATTGGACTATCAATTAGGTATTGCACTACCACCTACCTTACCTGTTATTATTTTCATTTGATACTGCTTTCTTTCTCAGTAAACCCAAACACTTGCAATAAAAACCTTAAATACAGGGTGTTAAAAAAAGGTTGTAAAATATTTCAGGAGGTAATAGTATGGACCAAAACAAACAAAAAAATCTTAATAAACATGGGTCCGCAAAGTAACGGTTTCGTCTTGCTAATGAAGCATATCCCATCTCGCTATGTAATAAACTATAATGGAGAACATATAGGGTGATTCTTAAATAGACCGACAAAAATTTATCACTGCTTCCCAAGGATAAATGGAGACAAACTGTACCCTTTTTACGTTTATATTTTTTAGGGGCAAAGCCCCCTTGATCCGTGCCACTTCCGGCGTTTATGAATTGTTGCAATGATCAAGTATATTTTCATCAAATTAATACCATAGTTTCCACTACCTGTGCTAATACTACTTACAAACACATCAGTGGCGTACGCTTTACCTCGCAAATAACTTTAATAAATCTTATTTGGAAAACGGTTAAACAAAGAATTTTTGTAATATTTTTTCCAACATGTACTCATTTGATACTACCAAGGATAAAATTTTGTCGGAAAAGGGATAGTGCTCTGCAAACCAAATTAGGTTCGTTTTGTTTCGATTTAAAGTTTACCAGGAATTATTTAATAATGCAACAACCACAGATCAATGTGAAAAACCAACTGAAAAAAATGTAATACTATAAGTGACGAATCTCCGCTTATGAAGCGTCTTTGACTAGTGTCTCGCACATTTTGCTAAATTCTTGGACCCGGCTTTGCCTCGGCTCGTACACGCTTGCCTCGGATATTATCACGACATTATTTTCCTTTATACTTAAATAACTATTATACTATTGGAATTAATCTTTTAATGTAAATCTTTTTATTTTATAAACAACTTTACTGTTATTACTTTTAAAACAATAACTTTTTGGCCCTGCTGATATTTTCTACACAGTAACAAAATATAAACTATATCGTTATTGATGAATTCATTATACAGCATTATAGTTCACTTAAGGTGATATTTACTTATCTATACACTAAAAAATGGTGGAAGTAAAATTTTTAGAAAACCGGGTAACTGGCATGTGTTGCAATCCCACACTGGTTTCTTCTATTTCGCGCCATTTTGATATAACCTCCTTGTCCCCAAGTTGAACCCCAAGAATTTTTCACCAACCAATAGTCCAAGCCTCTTTCTCTTCCATAGCCGACTATTACGACAGCATGGTTTAAAACACCTCTACAAGAAGGGTTATTGTAAACCCCCGATTTATAACTGTTAAATGTGCGAGTGTCGACGTGAATGGCTACTGAAACGGGTCCCTTAGTAGCCACCATCTTTCTTACTGCCTCTTCGTTTTGATTATTATTAATAGCAGCATAGCCTCGAATGGTTATGTGAGGTTTCGATGAACTGTATCTACATTTACCATTTCTGGCTTGATAACGGTAGTCTCTGTTATAATTCACACCTTTATTTCTTGCAATATAAGAGTAAGCTGTTGGCATCCAACCACCACCACAACCGCCTCCTCTTCCTACACAATCCACTAACTGTTGTTCGCTTAGACTGACTGTACGTTTGAAACGGATTTTATAATGGGATTCAATGGCACCAAGCTGAAATATAAATATACGTATAAATGAAAATTTAAACACTGATAAAAAACCAACGGTTGCGAAAGCCCAACAGGAACCACATTGACCTTGGTTTTTGACCGGGGTAACACCACCTCGTTGCCTCCAATCAAACGATGCTGGAAGGCTTCTACCTAAAGAGAAAAACAATGATTCTTCTGTAATGTTAATAAGGGGTTGTTCGATTTCAAGAGGGAGTTGGAGTCCTGTTAAGTTGGTTAGTTCTTCTTCAGTGAAATCGCTGAATTTGTTGATACCCATTTCGTAGGTTTCGGAACCGTTTTGATATTTTTCGTTGTGTTCTTCAACGATTTCTAAATTCTTTATGAAGATTGATTTGCGGAGACTTTCTTCCAAAGGGTCGAAAAACGCCCTGGCGTGCATAGCCTATTATTAAAATTGTAATATATTTATTTGACAATATGGAAGTTGACTTACCTTAAATTTATTCCATTCTTCTTCCACCAGATACTCTGGCAAAAGTGCACTGGATGTGTAGAAACATAAAAAGAAAAATGTTAAAGCATTCATTTTCAAAACAATGCCGCATGTAGCAGCTTGTGGCTTATTTATACCAAACAGAAGTATTTACAAGATGTATTTTACTTTTCCGGTATCAACAAATTGCATTATTTGTTAAAACCAGGTCTTAATTTAATACAATATGTAAAGAATTTAAATAAACTTGGGGTGCTTTTTATTACAAAGAAACAATTGAAGAGATTTAGGCATTCAAAAAGAATTGTTACGAAAGTTACGAAACGTTTCAATTTCGCTTAAATTGTAATCTAATCATGAATCAACACACGATTAACATTATTGTTAACAATCTAAACACGTTTAATTAGGGACGATTTTCTGTGTTTACATCGAGTTAAATCTTATTCGTAGAAAATTGCTTAAATGACCACACGGGGCTTATCTTAAGAATTAAGTAATTACGAACTAATGTTGAGATTCTCTATGAACTTATAAACATTTAAAGAGATTGTTTTTCATTTTTACTCGTAAATCTTAGGATTTGTAGGATTTTAACTCTCGATACTACTACGCAAGAGTTACTAAGGCTCGGATTATATGCAAAATGCATATTTGTTATTAAGAGGTATATCAACAAAATTGTAAGTTTTCTATGCACATCTAACGTTTTTTAGTTAATACTCGTATAAGCCAATTAAAAAATGCATATATTGGCAGTTTCGTGCATATTTAGGAAATATTGGATATGTGTGCATATTTTCTTAAAATCACAAATTTCCGATTAAGAATCTCAGATCAAGTTAAGTTGTGCATACTTTCTTCAAATACCAAATTTCCATTAAAAATTTCAGTTCAAGTTAAAAATTGGAGAGTTTAAAAAAATGATTCGTTTTCAAAATATGTTAAAAAGAAAACAACCGTTAATTCGTAAGCCGGACTCAAAGAATTAGTATCCTGCTGAGTGTTGCCTTTTTTAATTTGTTTTATACAGGGTGAATATAAGGTATGGAACCAAGCAGTTTTTTTTATTATTTGACTTTAGAAAATAATAATTAATGTAAATTAAAGTACATAATATAAAAAATATGAACGTATTTCGAGAACGGAATTTTGTTTTGTCTTTGAGTTATGTGATTTTTTTGTCAAAATTGCAATTTAAATATGTAAAAAAAATATTTGTTTTTTAAATTTAATATAAAGTAGATAGTTGTAATTCTTAAATCAAAATCTTCATGAGAATAATGGTTTTTTAGTGGGTTTTCATTTAAAATAATTAAGGTAAAAAATAAAATGGAGAACTCAAAAACAAAAGAGAATAAAACATCACATTTTTATACTTTCATCAATTAGTTTTTTCAAAAAATAAATAGTTTAAGCAAAAAACTTTTGGTTCCATACTTTTTATTCACCTGGTATTGCTATAATCCTTCCATTCGGATAAGTAGTTGCCTGCAGATGAATTTTAATCCAATTTATTTTTTCCCTTTCGGGGCTTATCGTGTGCTGTTCAAGATGCCGAAAACACAAAGTTTAGTGTACTCGAGGATAAAAATTTATCCACACTTTGATTTTTTTGTTCTTAAAAGTTTTGCCTATCGAGCATATTTCTTAATATCTTGTGCACATTTTTGTGAAAAAACGTGCATTATAGGCTGTCCCGGCGAGTTGAAAAAGTCCATTAGTGACGAACAAAAATACGATTCCTATCACACCAAACTTTTATTTCAAACACAACGCGTTTCAATCACAAGTGGTCATCCTCAGGTGAGAATAAACGGGTTTAATTGTGTTTTTGTTCATCGTTTCCATACCAAGAGGATCCAATGAGAAGTAAGCCATTAGTGACCTTTAAATGGTGAAATTAAAAAAAAATTGTATAGGACATTGATAAATACTAATCTAGTCCATCGCCTAAAATTATTTTCAACTATACAGGATGTCTCAAAAATAAGTTACAATACCAACTTGTGTTTTTTTTAAATAAAACACCATATGTTTCTTAGCGTTTTTGGATGTAGATTTTTATGACAATATTTTTAAGTTAAACTTTTATTAGTCGATTTTGCTTAGTTTATATGTATATATCGCATATCGGCGACAACAGTGTCACAAGTACTAAAATTTAAATTCCGAGATATTGCCTTTAAAGATTTTTTGCGTAATACAATGCCTAGATATTTGTCAAACTATTTTCACCATTTAGGGGCCAATTTTCAAAATATTTTTATATCACTATTTTAGCATAAACTATGAGTAATTTTACACATAATGCATTAAAAATCTTGAAAATCAGTTTTTGTGATTTATGACACTGTTGTCGCCCATGTGCAATATGTTTCTTAGCGTTTTTGGATGTAGATTTTTATGACATTGTTTTTAAGTTAAACTTTTATTGGTCGATTTTGCTTAGTTTTAAAAATAAGACGGTTTTTTGACAAAAACATGCACTTTTTAAAAATGTATTACACAAAAACTAAGACATCTGGAAATATTTTTTTACTATCGCAAAGACGAAGGTACAAGTTACAATGTTGTAACATTTTTTAGTATATCGCATTTACAAAAATAAAAAAATGAAGGCGTTTGTTAAAAGTTCAATAACTTAAAAAATTTAAATGGAACACCCTATTTATTGTTTATTCATTTAAAAGATTAATAAATAGTCTTTTTAAAATTATTTACTTTTAGGTGATTATAATCAATAACTAAACAGATATCTAACGTTAAATTAACTATCGTTAACGTTAAACATAAAAAAATAATTACTATTGTTTCAGTACCCAAAAAGTGCACAAGAGATGGAAGAAATATCATTTAATAATCACATTTGTGTTAAACTGAATCCGTTATTTTTTATTTTTACAATAAAATAATTCAAATCTCAGTATAAGTGATCCGTGGTGGAATTACTATGGTTGCCATAATAATATCAAGAATGCTCAGATATTGATAGGCATTGTTGCTACAATTAATTGTTAAATTATCTTTTCATTTATCACTTCTAGACATTTAAAGTTTATTTTTTAGATAGACAATTTATCAATCTATTAGATGTAAAAATAAAAAATAAGGTGTTCTATTTAAATTTTTTAAGTTATATAACTTTTAACAAACTTCTTCATTTATTAATCTTTACAAATGCAAAACACTAAAAATTTGCTACAGCTTTAAATTATGTACTTTTTTTTCTTTGCAGCTGTCTTAGTTAATGTGTAATAAATATTTAAAAAGTGCATGTTTTCGTTCAAAAAAATGTCTTATTTCTAAAACTAAACAAAATCGACTAATAAAAGTTTAGCGTAAAAACCTTGTTTTAAAAGGCTACATCCACAAATGCAAAGAAACATACGGTGTTTTTATTTAAAAAAAAAACACAAGAGACGCTGTATGGTTGAAAATAATTTTAGGTGATGCACTAGATTAGTATCTATCAATGTCCTATACAATTTTTTTTAATTATACCATTTAAAGGTTACTAATGAACTTTTTCAAATCGCTGAGACATATTTTACAGATTTTTCGGGCGTATAATCCGAGGTTTAGTTATTACTTAAGTACTTTAAACAAAAAAAGTTTTTTAAGAATTCAGGTTTTGATAACCAGCAATAACTTATTCATAGGCGTCGAAACTGAAATAATACACCCTTAAATTAGCAATTAAGCAATTTCCAGCTTTGGACAAGTTGTCCTAGTAAATTTTCAGTGAATTATTTCCGGAAGCAATTTACTTATTCAGTGGCCCTTTCATACAAACACAATAGTCGACTAATTAAGTATTCCAGATTTTCCAAAGCCATCTCGATGAAATTAATGAGAAATGGAGCAAAAGAATGATTTTGGAGAATTGTTTAAACTCGTCCTTAAATCTTTTCAGAACAATGCATCCCTGATAAAAACAAACTTAATTTCTCGTTTCGTCAAACTGAAAATATTATTATCTCCAGTCTTTCGCATCGTCCAAAAATACAAAACAAAAGCCCCGTATAGCCGCAGCTGCTGGTAAATACGCACACAATTTTTTGTGAATGGATGAAGCAAAATAATAATAAAATCAGCTATAAATACATGGACGCGTAATAATAGAACGGAGCTTCGAACTCGAAGACTACGACAATACGGATCAAGATAAACGAAGAAGCAGCGAACTACTCTAAATATAATGGAAGTTGAAACTGTCTATTAGGCTGAAGTTTCGCGATTCGAATATTGTAAATTACCTTCGACTTGCAAATGTTGCCTTATTAATGGTAATCTAAGCCACTTTTCTCACAATATCTTCTAATAGACATTATCAATCAATGTTGACTCGAAAGGAAATTAAAAAAGGGGCTCTAAAAACGCTGGAGCTGACTGAAAATTAATGAATTTTTCTTGTTGAATATTAACTTTCAAATGCTCTTTCGCATTAAACTGGTGCAATATCTCACAACTATTAATGAACAAAAACACGATTAAACACAACGATTAAAAAACAACGTGTTTCATCCACAAAGTGGTCATCCTCAGGTGAGAATAAAACTAACTAATTTAACAATGGTAATGCCTTATATACTAATTTTTCCGACTTTCACTTTCCCTACCCCCAACTAACGAGTAGAGAGGAGAAAAGGGTATGGGGCCGTTGTCTGAATTCATAAGCTTATCTCTATTTTTAAATATTTCAAGACTCTCGAAAGCGTCAAGAAATTTACAATTATTGACTACTCTAATAATTTTTACATTAGTTTCACTAATTTTATGGTTTTTTTCAAAAATATGTTGGGCCACACTTGATTTTTCAAATCTGTTATATCTTAAATGAGCTATGTGTTCTTTAAACCTAGTGTTAACTGAACGAGGTGTTTGCCCAATATATTTTTGTTCACAATCTTTACAATTAATTTCATAAATCCCCGACTTTTCTGAAGGTCCTACTTTATCTTTAGGATTGCCAAGAAAACTTTTGAGACTTCTGCCAGAGTTGTAAACAACTTGGAAGTCAAGATTTTCGAAAATTTTACTCAAACTTCTTGAGATTGAGGGAGTATAAGGCAAAGTTATAAACTGTGTTTTCTTTGGTTTGTTTGTAAAAGTCGTGGAATTACTG